TTATTTTTATTATTTACATTTTATCGATGATTATTACGATGATTACTACATTATATGACTGATTATTACTGATTTTCGTCACCATCTCCCTGCACCCAAGCCTACATCCATCCATCCAGCCTTCAATCCATCCAAAATCCATCTGTTTTTTCCTCCATATGTGTTGCCAGTGGGTGTAGGTGATGTTGCAGACTTGATTGGAGGTGATTGTGGCATGGCAAGGGGGTGGATGCGCTGGATGTGGGTTGGATGTCGTGCTGGAGGAACACCACTGCCAACTGTCGCTAGGGCACATGGACAGCAAATCCAATGCCCTGCCCGGTATTGGGCCAGCCCTTTTTTTTTACCTTGGCTGTCCTATTTGCCACCCCCTTCAAAGGCCCAGAGAGCCACAAGGGCTAAATGGACAGCAAGGGAGGAATACTTGGGTTTTCCCCAGTTCTGGCACTGCCAGAACTGAAGTTCACCCTCGGACTTTCTCCTCTGCTGTCCAAATTTTACTTCGGACAGACAGAAGGTAATAACCCAGACTCCAACTTGCCAACATATATCCAAACTCAAAAATGCATGAGTTGTGGCTTGAACCAAGGACCAGTCCTACTTTGAGGAGCGCTCAACCCGTTAAGCTACACGACTCGATATATATCTATGCTACTTAGTCTTCAAGTACCCTTGAGGGTACAAGCACCCTAAATAGAATAGAGAAAGTCAAAGGCAAAAGAACGCCTCAGACAAGACTTGAACCGGCGTCACTCGGAATCGGAGTTCGACGGACTTCCACTACACCACCGAGACGTTGAATTACTTGGGTTACTTGTAATATATATACACTTCCCGTTCACACTCAAACTTCAACTTTCAAAATCTCTAAGTCCCTAGACACGGACTGGTGGTGGAGAATTATTATAGAGATATACTCCCCTCTACTACTCGTCCTCGTCGCTGTTATCGTCAAAATATTCATCATCGCTGTCACTCTCAGAATTAACTCCTGTTGTCTCGACAGACGGTCGGAAGGCAGGGAGAGGTGTTGAAGGGGAGGTTGTGGAGGCAGGATTTGCGGAACTGGCAGAGGTGGGGTTGTGGACAGGAGACGAGGATGGGATGATGGATGGTACGTTTGATAGAGCTTCGTGGCGTCTGCGAGCGCGGGTGTCGACGAAATAGAAGGGAGCGTTGCGATATACGTCCTCCCAATCGTCAAAAGAGTAACCGCCCTTCGAGAGAAGTGGACGCCACATACCGGCGAATCGCAATGCCATTCCCTCCCACATCTCAGCCTGCTTCTCCGCGTACGCTGCTAACCCCCCTTTCACTTCTCCCGAAGTCTCTCGTCGGTGAGCAGCCGGAGCGTAATCGCACGTACGCAACGATCGACGGTTTCTCCACCAGTCTGCTTTCCATGCGTGGTACTTGAGGCAGCGGCGCATATCTTCGGTTACTTGACGGACTTCCTCTGACCAACGAGCCGCTCGCGCTCGTGCTTTCATCCACTCGGCTTTCAAAGCTGCCGAGGTCTTAGCCTATGAACATCATACAATTTTGAGAACCACTTACATTCGACATACTCTTCGTCCGACGAATCGAGCGGGTGCTCACGATTACACTGCTTCCAAATCCACGTCAATTCACGGTATCCTTCTCCTAGCGCATCTGTAGGCAATCTCCGCCGTTTGCTCGATGACTGCTTGTCGAATGATGTATCAGGACGTGGACCCTTGATATCCTGCTTCCTCAGTTCGCGAAAGCCGTGCTCCGCGAGATAGAATGAAGGGCGATCGTCGAGAAGAAGAATAGCTTTGAATGCCGAGCGATAGCGATCGGCGGCTCTGGTAATCTTCGTCTCGAATGACTGGAGGACTTGATGTGACTGCGTGAGGGCCCGTTGACCGTGTATATTCTGCCGACGATGGAGTGTATAGTCGCTCTGAACTCGGAGGAGCTTCCGTAATGTCTCCAGTGCTCCGTGTGCCAGTCCGACCCGCAGCTGAAGTTCTTTCTGAGGCACGTTGGCAAGACAGACGGTGAGACGAGTAGCAGAATCGATGGCGGAAGGAAGGAGGAGGGGTTCTTCTTCGACATTTGAAGTCGGCGGATGATCTTGTAACAGAGCGGCGGTACCGGGCATGTAGATTGCTTGAGCGGCTCTCCATTTCTGAAGGCGAGGACGATAGAGACGCCGCTTCTCTATAGCTTCTTTCGACGCCTCATCGCCATCCCCTTTCTTCGCTAGAGCCAGCAATTGAATTCTGAATAATGGGATCAGCACCAAACTTGTACAACGACGAATTATACTCACTGTTGTTCTTCGAGATTTGTTCCGAGCTCAAGAAAAGCACCTACGTACAGCGACGGATACGGTGCGTTACCCTGTGCTGCTTCCTTCTCGTCGGCGATGGCTAGTTCGCGTCGGACGGTTGTCAAGTTCGTAGCTAGCACCAAATTAGGAAAGGAAAGTCAACGTTCAAGACGCTGAACTTACTGGTAGTAACAACAAAGGGATCTGGGACGGAATCCGGGTCTGCTTCCCAAGCAAGGATGGTATGTGTCCAATCCTTCAGGGTTGCGTCATCAAAAGTTTGACTGAACTCCTTGAAGGCGATTTCGTGCTTCTCCCTCATCGGTAGAGCCTCTTCGAGCTTCTTTAAGCAAGAAGAACCTGAATCGAGTGTTAGAAGTGTCGAGGAGATAAGGCAACAATCAACGTACCGATGCCGACCACTTTATGGAAATTGGAGGAATTCCACATGTCTTCTAGAGTTTCCCGGCGAGCATTCGGTGTCATTTCAGCCGTACTTGGACCAGCGGCGTTAGAATTTGCCCAATGGCGCTCGATGATCTCCCCGTCGAAGCGCGCAGTAAACGGTCGTCGATTAAGCGAATATTTGGATTGGCATTCTTCTCCGTGAGCGAGGATGTGAAATTTGGGAATGAAGAAATAGAATCGAATATCGTATAGGCCAAGACGCATACAGGGTGGGTAGTGTCAGGCCATATGGTTGTAGTTGTCTGAATATACAGGCCAGAGGCCCTATATGATAGTGTGTATAGTAGGAGAGTATCGTAGTACTATCCGCTCTGA